TCTCACCAATATTTTGAGCGATAAGGAGGTTGGAATCACTAGGCTCAAGTCTGAATTGCAGAAGGTTGTTTCTAGGGGACCTGGTACCAGTGAGGGTCATGAGCAGGTGCTCAAACAGTTGAGGGATGAAAACACAATGTTGCTGAAGACAAATGCCTCTCTCAGTGAAGAAATTAAGTCCCTCAACAAGCAACTGATACAGACCCATGAGAGCACAAATGAGCATCTAATGATGTTGATGCGTACCTTGAATCCCTCTCCTCCTCCGTCCTAAATGTGTCTCACTTGTAATTCCTTTTGTTTTGATCATTTTTGTAACCCAAACTCTTGTGGCTTTGTGTTTTTTTGACTAACTACAGTGGTCAATATTTGTGGCCTAATGCTATTTGTGTTTCTGCCCTATTCATGTGTGGTTTAATACTCTCTTTATGCTTACATACAAATGTTTTGTGTGGCCCAAGGCCCTGGATTCTTTATTGCCTTGCATTTAACTTGAATATGTTTGCTGCTTCACCTTTTCAATGATGTCAAAAGGGGGAAGTGTTTGTGTTGTTTTGTAAAGTTGGTTGTGGAATACGGGCCCTAAACTAAGGGGGAACTGTGGTTGGTAGGGGAACATACTAAGGGGGAACATTGTTGTTACTGGTACACTGAACAAAGTTGTAATTTGTCGTGTATATTGAATGAATGTTTGTTCACTCACGTGAGGCTCTATATAGGTTGTTTGTCATCATCAAAAAGGGGGAAATTGATAAGTGCTTATGTTTCTTGATGTTTTGATGATCTCCTCACAAGTGCAGGGACCTGGTCCTCTGCAGAGTATAAATACTCATCCAGTGGTCAAAATGTTGTACAGCTGGAAAGTGATCTGCGTCAGAATGTTGGTGAAGTTGCAGAGTACTCCACCAATCAGAAGCGACGAGGTTGCTTGTTCATTGGATAATAACTTTTCATGTCTAAATATATCCAAGGAAAAAATACAAATTATTTCATTCATTCAAAGAGAGATATTTTCAAGCTTCAAAACAGCAAGGGACCTGATAGAAGTGCTTCGATTGCTTTCTGTACTAGCTGTAGTTTTGCTTGCTTGTAATAGTTCTTATATTGTAGGATTCGTTTCACTTGTGAAAGAAACGTTTCAAACTTGTTTGAATCATTGTAAGAACTAGGTTAAGGGTAACGTAGGTTCTTACTCTAAAAGTCTATATTAATCGGTCAAGATTAGTATAGTGGGCAGTGTTGTATCTGCACTGGCTCAGCTAAGTGATAAGAGGTATTGCTTAGTGTGGATCTTTTTGTAAACTGGCTTTTACTTTTGCTTGGAGAAGATTAGTGGAAGCAGTTCGAAAAGTCCTGTTGAGAACATGTCTTGGTTTTACTCCCTTGAGCAAGGAGGTTTCCACGTAAAGTTGTGTGTGCAATCTTTACTTTCAACATTTATTTTTGTTTGTTATTGTAACTGTGTTGAGGACCTGGTCCCATCAAAATCGGTGGACGCATACATTCCAACACTTGTATTTCACCACAAGACACATGCTTGATAATGACGTTTCAGGGAGGAAATAAATCTACTTTAAAATAGCCCAAGAGAGTAATAGGACCCCTTTGAAGTATAAGTGTGTAGTTGGAAATCTGGTAATAGGTTGGGGGTTATTTGACTATTTTCTCTAACCTTTGACATTTGTTGTTTTATTAGCTTCTACTATGTGATGATTATCATTAGAATGAGGATATCTCATTTTTCCTGAATTAATCATATAAGGCATTAGGACTAAGTTAACTAGCAAAATCATGTAGGAAGGGGCACTTGTCAGAACTGCTGGTGTTTAATAAATTATCATAATTGAGATTGTGATAGAAATTCTTTACCTACTGTGGAATAGGGATGTTTCAATGCTATTCTCTTGAACACTTCAGTCCATTTGGGCCTTGCAAAATGTGTCCTTACCTGCACTAGAATTAGTTTTAATGTCAGTAGAATTAAAAATATTTCACTTTGAGAAGGTCTATGTGATGGATCATACCCTAGTGCCAGACAAGATGTCAACACCATGTTTTGCATGATTAAGTGCCTGGAGCATGGTGATGAGAGTTGATCTAGCATCACCTTCTTCATAAACACTCGTTAGATAATTATGCATCTCTATCTGACCCTGTTCCATCACCCGAATACAGGAACATAACTGAGTTGATGGCAATAATATTAAAACAGAAATCGAACAACGTAGAATTCCAATTAAGGACATGTAGCAAGAAGTATGTGTGTACTACTTTGTGATCCATCTTTGCAACTTCATTCATCACTCCTTTGAACCAGTCTAAAGATCCAGGTTCTCTGGTAACCCAATAAAAATGTGCACTTCTTGCCCTTTGATTTCTTTTTTACACTTGATGTTGAGCTTGAAGAAGCAAAACTTGTCCAGCTATCATCTGATGCGCTGGTCTCAGTATTCGAATCCTGAAACAGAATCATGGACGGAAAATATTTACTTGGAGCCTTACAACGGTATTGCTTTGAAGTAATGATATTGTAAGATTTACCACATCTTCATGTGCTCTTGTATTGTTCAGTAGATCCTTTAGGATACTTATAAAAGGTGTAGCTCCAATACCAAGTCCTACAAGAAGTAAGACATCATAATTTTGATAGTCTTGTGCTGGTGCTCCTTATTGTCCATCAACTAGCAATCGAGGTAAACAACTGCATGGTCGATAGCATTTTTAGAACTTGTAAAGAAAATCACGATGTAGGTTTGCTCAATGGACAGAAATAGTAAAGTTACCCTCTTTGATCAACATTTTCATGTTCTTCAAACTTTGTTCGACCAACTACACATGCTGGAATCTCTGTGAATACTCTCTTAAGTTCTTTTGTCCAGTCACCTACGATCCGGATATAAACACTGAGGTAGTCATCTCCTGGTGCTGATGTTATAGAAAATGGATGCATGGAGAAATATTGAGATATATGTTCAATGCCTGTTCGTAACATAATCAGCTTGCATGTAAAACAACAATACCTACCATTCAAATGAGGATATTGTTGGGCACTGCAGGAATATATACTGCCCGCTCTTGTATTTGAAGCCAGCTGGTTTTGACATGATCAAGCTCAAGACATCTCCTGGAAGTACAGAAACCTGTAAGGTTCGAAAATCAATTCTTTATTCGTTTCCTCGTATCTTGTTCTTGATCTTCCTCTCCTTATATTCTTAAGTGGTTTTACAGTTTCATTTTAGGAGCTAATAGTTTCTTGTACTGTCCCGAGAATACAAGTGTAATTGATGAAAATGCTATCAGTGTCATGCCCTTACTTACCTTAAAGATCTTAACTGCATAGTCTTCTGATCGCCATGTTCTCAAAGTCCTCTCCGCAATGTACAGGATTAATGGAATGGAGATATACATCCACGTCTGCATTAATAGTTATTGGTGATATATTGTTAGCATATAATCTTGGATAAATGTTTTTTCAATTTAATGCTTGCTTTCTTTGTACTAATCATCTTCATAGTCCTTACCGTCTTCTGATACCATTTGTAGACAAAGAACAGGAATGTTCCGTGTAGTAGTAGCAATATATAGACAAATGCCAGAAGGTGATCATGAGAATACCAAAATGCATTAAAGCCTGTTAATCGGTTCAGAGGGGGTGGCAAGTTGTGTACGCTCCTCCTGAAGTGTGGTGTTGCCAGTATGAAGGCTATAGTCATCAAAATTACCATAGAAATACCGGTGATGCCCTCAACACCAGTCAAAAGACTTATGTAGCTTGGCTTCAACTTGTCAAAATCAGAAGCTACGAGTGCAAATTTTTCTGGCGATGAGTTAACCAAATGGGGAAAATCACACGCTAAATGGTCGGTTGCATGAAATATTATGCCAACAGCTATGGCATGTGCAATAATCTGCAAGCGAATGGCCTAGTTAAGGAATATATGATACTAGTGATAAATTGAGGTATGGAGTGTTTACCTTGTGAAAATTGATATTGTCATCAAATGGAATAAGTATCCTGGCTCTTGTTGAACGTAACCTAGTTAACATGTTTCGACAAACTGGTAAAAGGATTAGTGCCATGTTAAACTTGAGTGTCTCGGCAGCCCCTTTAGCTGTAGCCAAACAGTAACCCATTACTTGAAATGCTTCCATTTGCCTATACTGCATGAATTTACAAGTGAAAAGTCCAATCATAGAGAGCAACCATAGCAAGATAATCGAGCCTCTATGCCAGTTGTCTAAGACAAGGCATTTGAGGGCACGACTTGCTTTCTTTACCATGTTGTTGGCATTGCTTGTTCCTATGTTTGGACTCCAGTCGACACTGGTCGTTGTGCTTAAAGGCCTACTGTAGCTCATGTAATGGTCCCTTTGTAAAAGAAGTGTTTCCAACTGCCATAACTGAAGGAAAAGGCACATATTAGTGTTGCTAGTTTTTAACACACTTTGCAAGCCAGAGGAACATACCTCAATGTAACCAACATCTTCTGGATCTAATTTCTCCATTATCAAACAAGCATACTCTCCTGCATTTTCCTTCAATTTTGATAGCTTATTTGCTGAAGCACTCACCATTATCAACTGGTCAAGGAACAAAAACATATAAATAAAATTACGAATTATCTCACAATCTAACGATTTTCAAAGTAACCTAGCATCTTTATCAAGTTTTCATTTTTTTGGCTTCGGAGCCAACATTAGAGCTCCGACTAAATTCGAATTGCACACTGCAAGGCCTATTCAGGAGTGGCGCTACCAACAAATTTTTCTCCATATCCAATACTCAAACCCGATATTTCTGGTTAAGGTTGAAGCAATGGGTTGCGTTCTTTATCAAGTTTTATACTCATACTTACTGTATGCAGTAATAGTACTAACTTGATTGTAGAGGCTTTTTTTATTTTAAAGCTATATCTTTGGATACAAATTAAATTGTTTCTGAAATACTAGTAACTGTTCAGAGCCTCACAATAATTAGATCGAATAACAAGTTTTTTTAAAAAAAAATATTTAAGCCTAATGGCCTCTAAGTCGCAAAAGTGAAATCCAGAAAGGAGGTTTCCTCTCGCAAAAGAGAACATCACTTAAGCAAAGGGGCACTCGCTTAAGAGAATCCCACGTTTCATTAGAGGTTGCAATAGCGCCCAAATGTCGCTTAAGTGAAGCTAAGGAGTTCAAAAGGCAGTGCACAGAATCCAAACCAACACAAAACTTAAAATAAATGTCCAATTTCTTCCTCTCCTCCTCAAATGTCTAAAATTGTTCTAAACTCTTGATCTTTATTGTGCAAACAAAATCTGGTATGTCTCTCTAACTTTCTCTCCCTTGAATTGGTAAATTTCATTTGGATAATTGATTTTTACTTGTTGTAAGTTGGGGGTATTTAGTGGTAGTAACTTCTCTAACTGAATTCCTTGCTTAAATTGTTAAATACAGGTGTATTGGCTGATTTAAAGTATTTGGGGATGTCTTGAGAACCCATTTCATGATCTAATTTTTGAAAATAGATTGGGTACAATGTGTTTGATAAAATGCCCAAAAGAACTCAAAAATGATTATCGAAACTTGTTGTGACGAAATGAATGAGTTTTTTGTTGCTTGTTTGGTTGTTGTTGATGTTACACTGATGGTTATTTAAATTTTGTGTTAAACTAGAAATGAAATTTGTTGTTCATGTTTAAGGGGGTGAATGTTCAAAAAAAGGAACTCCCCATTGCAAAAGCGATCTTCTTTTAAGCATACCCCTTCGCTTTTGCGATTTCTCCTTAAGCAGCCTTCTGGTCGCTTCTGCGATGTTCCCTTAAGCGAACATGGCTTCACTTTTGCGATATCTGGGGCTGTTTTCTGCCAGGATGAATATTTTCAGCATGCTTGTTTTGGTTTCAAATTGAGTTCCAACCATTTTCTTTGACTTCTACCTATGAAATAGCATTTCTAACACATGATTCTCACACACATATGCTATTGTGATTTTCAGATTTTCACAAAGTAAAGAATGTCACACGAACTCAATTTTGAGGAGGATGTGGTGGTTGAATATGATAAATATCAATTTGTCTCTCTCCGAGCACAAAAGATCTATTATGTTGATTTGATGAAGAAGAAGCTACTTTCGGAGAGAGGCATATCGCTTGACAAAGTTGAGGAAATTCTTCCGACTTTCCACCAAAGGCTGATGTCATGCAGTTGGATATGCTTGTTGTTGAACCTTGTAGGGAAAGTGAGCGATGTGTGAGGGATTTTTTATGCCAATCGCAAGGAGACTGGAATGAGATCAAGGTTGATCACCATCCAGGGTAAGGTTGTCAACTATGGGCTTGAGGAAATCAATCAAATATATGGGTTACTTAACCATGATATCAAGTCCGTCACAAATAAGGATTGTGTGTCGGGTGTTTTGTTAGCTTCAAAGCTATGTCCAAGCACAAAAGTTTCCATGGGCTGTCACCAATACCAGAATTTTAGTCTCAAACTTGACCGCAGAAGCAAGGACATGGATGTCAATTGTATGAAACTGTATTTCCCCAAGTGGGAACATTAGCAACATTCCTTAGTTGCGAGCACAAATAGTGGCTTGGGTACTTAATGATGTCCCGATAAATATAGGCCATTTCATTGTTAATGAGTTCCGAGAATTCAAAATTCATGACAGCCTGTCTCTTGTTGTTCCATCTCTGGTCACAGAGCTTTGTAAATGGGCTGAGGAGGATGTACTTCCAGGTGACACTTAGATGGAGCCCAAAAATCCTATCTTTCCTCTTAAGATGCGTGGTGAGGGCACGATGGTAAAAACCAAGACGAGAAAGGTTAACTCCTCTAAGTCTGTGCATGTTGAGGATGGTACTCCTACACCTCCAATTTTGGGCCCTTTTGAGTCGTTGGCAAGTGAGTTGAGGATTGTGAAGGAGATAGTGTCAAGCCTGCCTCAAGGGCGCGTGACTATTACAAAAGGGCCCTTTAGCGGCAATAAAATATGGCTTTAGCGGCAATAACATTTGCCACAATACTCTATACCGGCCAATGAACTTTAGCCGGCAATGTTGGGGTCGGCAAAGGCTTTGCGGCCATTGTGGGAAATGCTGGTAAAGGATAGTGTGAATTGCCGCTACAAACCATTAGCTTTTACGGCCATTGAATGCGGCAATTATGTTGGCTGCTAAAGGTAATTCATACTGTCTAACTATTTCCTTTTAGTGTCCATTGATTTAGTCGATAAATATAAATAAATAGCCGCTAAAAGGTAGTACTTTTAATGTCAATTGTTTGCAGTAATTGTGTTGGCTGCTAAAGGTAATTCATATCGGCTAACTATGGTCCATTAGCGTCCATTGTTTTAGTCGATAAATCGAAATAAATAGTTGCTAAAAGGTAGTAGTTTTAACGGCAATCAATTTTACCATTGAATTGCCGCTAAATATCATAACGTTTAACGGCAATTGTTTAGCCTCCATTAATAATATCTATTATATTTATCGATAACATGTATATATAAAAATCCAACAAACACGTTCGTAAAAGAGAGCCTCATAGTAACAACAGTTTTCGCTAATGGTGAAAACATATATATTACTATTAATCCATAAAATAGAATATGTCTCTTTAAATCTAGACAAACAAAAGAAAGTATTGATCCAAAATAGACCGTCGCAACTTTTAAAAATAAACTTATATTGTTCAAACTATTGAATAATGTCTTCAAATAAATTTTGTTACTCTTCTTCGAATAATGTCTTTGAAATCACCCACATATGAAATTTGCGAACTTCAGATTGTATAACCTAAAATAAAAAAGAAATGTGTCAATAGATGAAATCCAAAGTATAAAAATATTGCAAGTTGTGTGACTAATCTGAAAAATTACAAGTAAAAAGCATTTTAGGTAATTCAATATTATGTGGAGAAGAAATATGCCAGTTGATCATTTTTGGTTAGCAGTAGTACACAACAAGTCTGCGGCAGCAATAATTTTTGCACTCTCTTTGGTATGTTGTTTGGTGATCAATATAAGGAGAAATGGTAAGGATATTATTCTACATCATACTTTAGTCGAATAATTTCAGTATCTGTACAGCAGCTATTATGGTGAAGCAACTATAGCAACCTAGACCTTTTACTACATTTCTCTATCATGCAGCAAAAACAATGACATAACTTCAAATTTCATTTGATCCTAATCGGTGTTTGCTGATGTACATGTAATGAGAGAAGTGAATGTTTAGCATCCTATGACGGCATTAATGAAAGTAAACATGCAGAAATTTCAATCTTTGATCTAACCACAATAACTAATGCAACTGATAACATCACTAGTTGAAATACAAAAGACATGACAACACTAAATTTTTGCATGAACAGAAGTATGTATAAACTTCATATGGTCAAATCCAGAAGTTGTTCAAAAAGAAATTCAATGTTCAGGTACAGATATTAGCAGAAATGGATGCAAGATTTGAACTTGATAGATCCAACCTTTGATATTCTAACACTAGCTTCCAATATATTTAGTGATTTTTTACATTAATAAACTGACGATCCTCTATTCATCAGTTATCATTGCAAACATATCTACAACAAATGCATGATGATCTGAGCAGGCATAATTTGCAAGACATGAGAATAAGTAGCCAAAAACTTAGCTTGAATTCATTGATGACGTCAATCTCAAAGACTTACGAAATCCAAGAATCTCACCGTGGTTTCTAGGCTGAGGTTAATTACCTAAATTCTGAAATATAAACTTGATTCCTCACACATTCCATAAGCACTGAAGTATGAAACACATGGAAGATGCAAAAGAAAATGGTTGAATTCATACCCTACAAAGAAAAAGTTGCATGCCCACAACATATGTCTCACTTCCCTTTCCAAAATGGATCTCTGCTGCTCATAACTACTAGCTATCCATCTAGCCCACGATAGCGAAGGCTCAAAAAAAGATTGAATGAGGTCATTAACATTGAATCATCATCTAAGTTGCTCGGACTCGGGTGCGGGTATCCGAGACGGATGCGAATCCGAGAGTCGGATTCGGCAAAATCCAAATTTTAAGATTCGTGGGTGCGAATCCAAGTATGGATACGGGTGCGGGGATACGGCTAAATTTTTTCAATATTATAAAAATATAGTTATGAAGATATTCTAAATTTGAAAGATATGTTGTGATAAACTTACATGTATTTGTAGAATTCAATCTTCCATTCTTCAAGATGAGATTACTCTTCCATTCTTCCTACAAAGACACAACAAAATAGAAACTAAACATTAAAAGCATTTACAAATTACAATAGAATAAATATAACTAAAAGAATCAATAAAGATTGAAAAGATGAACTAACCTTAGAACATGGATAGTAACTCTTGTCTCTTGAAACAAAGTGAAAGTGAAAATACTGCAATTATTAAAATTTAAGATATACACAAGATCATTATCCACAATTTAGATATTCATAATTACTAATCAATATTCAATACACCAAGTAAAAGTGTAAAACATACTATTTAACAAAAATCAAGAGATTGTCTCAACTTAATCCATAACTTAAAATTAACATAACAAAATGTTGTCAATTATCAAGTTATTTAATTAAGTTAGCTATCTCTTCCACATCTTC